GCATTAAAAACAGGACTGAGTTGGTCACATGAACCGTAAAGAGCTGAAACTCAGTGAGTCGTGTGGACTGGCACCTGGCAGGTGAAGAGGAAATGAACAGGTCTGAAAAGCATCTGCTCAGATAAACTAATTGTTTCTTGGTGGCTCTGAACTAAAACTCTGCTCAGAGTTCATTTATAATTGGACTGAAAACAGCTGAGAGTTGAAAGGTTTTGGATGCAGGCAGATGTGATGTAAACAGATAAAACAACCAAAGGTTGAGGAACCCAGAAGGTCTCCAGCTGAACAAAGAGACAGAAAACCTTCAGCTGCAGAGGAGAGGAGACAAAAACACAAACAATAAAATGATAAGAGAGCAAAATGACAGCAGGTGAAAGAAAAAAGAAAGGTTTTGTTTTTCCTTCAGAATAAAAACGAGGCGGCCTCCTGCAGAATCTACTTTCAGGCTTTTTAAAAACAGGAAGGTGAAGCACACTGTGTTCTCAGCCTGAGCAAAGATTAAAACTTTCTCTTTTTATTAGTTCTCCTTCAGAAGCTGCCGTCTTATTCCTCCTCTTTAATAAAGCAACTGAAAAATTCAAATCCTTTCCCAACAAACAGAACATTTGTACTCTGGACCTTCAGAGCGCCTGTCGGAGAGATGAAACCACATCCAGACTTCTCGCTTTATCTTCAGAAAACAAAGTTTAAAGGCAGAGGATGAGTGAAGGAAGGAAAAATGAAGCTTAAAGAGGAGAAATCAGGACAGAGGAGAGAAATTTTCTGCTCCAAACACAGACAGTGAAACCTGTTAGAAGAGCTTCATAAAGGACAGAAGATGTGAACTGAAACAACCAGGAGCAACAAGGAGTGGGTGATACTGTAATTACTGCTCACCACATCAAACACAACGACACCTGTTCTGATCTACCTGAAAACAAAGGATCTCTTTACTTTTATAGTCCTACATTAATGCACCCCTACAAATGTTACATGAAAATGGCCGGCTCGGTGGTACGAGGCGTGCTGTGAACCCTCGCAGGAAAACACTGAGTCCAGCTGCCAACTGACCGACTGCCACACTCTGGATTAACAGATTTCTTATTGTTCGGTTTTTTAACCTGGGAACTCAGAGAAACCACAACAAGCCTGGCCGAAACATTAATCAATTGACACCAGAGACCAGTAAGATTTATAGATCACTTTGCAAAGAGGAGAAGTTCAGTGATACTTAGCTCAGACGTAAGCCTGGTGAGGATCAGAGAAGTTCTGCCCTCTGGGGGCGTGAACAATCGTTTTATTCAGACATGTAAGAGTGAGGTCACAAAATGTTAACAACAAATCAGAAATCAGTTATGTAGTATGTCACAAGAGAGGAACCAATCAAAACACTTGTTGCTGGGGTTTTAATATGTGAATAATTGGAAAAAAACCACACAGACTTGTTTTGTCTTACTAGCTCTGCTTAAGAG